CGAATTTGAGCAGAATGAATTCGAAAAAATTCCTCGAACGGAATCGGTACGCAAGTGGTGTTAATAAGCGTCGAGCAATAAAGATAAAGAAAAACTTTCCTGTGATATTCGTGTCAGAATGCGATACGCCGGCGGATAACGCCGGCTCGTTTGCGTGAGTACACGCTCATCACGGATTAGCTCGATGACTAATCCCGATACCGGACGTCGGGACAAGGGTAACCACTTTCGAGCAATACCGAAATAACGGTTATCGGCGAGAAGGCAAATTAACCTGGGGGGCTGGCCGGCTCTAACCCATCGGGACTCCGGCTACCGTGGTGAAAAAACTCGCAAATCATAATGGTCGATCCTTAAGCGGCCGGCGCGGCATTTAATTTCACTCGGTGGCTCAATGTTTTCGCCGTATAATTCGCCTCGATCGCCGATACCGAGCCGCGAACAAAAGCGATCCAGCGAGAATCTTGGGTAAATAACAGGCGTTATATACTCGTCTCTCACGGCTTTCCAACGTCTATTTAACGGGAGTCGATACTGCAACAAGGACATCGCGTCTAATTTCTTTATCGTGTCTGAAACACGCTCGTTATATGCTGCCGGCGATGTTTGAAGTGGAACTGTGCAAAAATATTGTTTCATACTTTGCTTAGGGAATGTGTACGTTGCTGCTAGTGCAACTGTAAGGCAGAATATTGAGGTACTGGTTCAGGCTAGGATTGAGTTAGGTTACCTTTCTAGACGTTGAACACTTGTTATGAATTTTTTGACGAATAGCAAAAAATTGCAAACGAAGGAAGCTACTTTTGGGAAAGATTGAAGTTATAGAAATGAAGCTGTGTTTTCATACTGTGCAGCATGAAGAACACCTGCTTCACTGTAGTGACACTGCGAGACTAGTGATTAGAGATAGCAGCATTGCACTATGAATGATAATGTCATTGTGATTCTAGAGTCACAACTCTGGTAATACTTTGTCGGAGTATAGAATAGGTAATGTACACTCTGCCTAAGCAAAGTGTACATTACAGCCTGTTTTATAATTTTCCGGGTGAATTTTTCGGAATGTGTACGTTTTGCTTAGGTAAACTATACTTCGTGCATTTTACACTCTGATAGAATTGCCGTCGTATTTTCAATCCGGCACTCTTCGACCGTGTCTTTTTAATCTCCCAGTGCACAATTTTCTCAACCCGGAAGCAGATGCGTTGAGATAAAAATTATGCGACACTTCTGTATAACACTTGCAGATCTCGTCTCACTTTAGTACCCTTGGAGCATATTCTCCGCCAAACGTCGCGTGTATTTCACGCAGAAAAAAAAAAAGAAAAGAAATCGTAAAATGTGATTCAGCAGATCGGGTAAATTTTGCCTCACGCGATACAGTTTTACGCGTGTGTTACTGGGTTAATTACACCCGGCGTTATTTATTAAGAAATCAACACACGGTATTCTCAGCTGTTGCTCAACACGATCGCGTCGAAATAAAGAGAATTTCGCGCACTCGTTAAGGCCTACTACCTTCGCCGAATTACATTATCCAAGCGTAAAAACGTTTCTTTACACAGAATCGTTTAACCGATGAATTTATATATCCACCACCGATACGTTCTTTCTTCTTTCCTTTTTCTCTTTTTTCTTTCACTCGATCGAGGTATTACCCGAAGCACCCTTTTTCAACACTCCATATACCTGTTCC